CCCTCGACGAGTGCAGTGGAGACAAAGCTTTACGTCTACCCACTAACTGTTCGGTGCCTTCGACAAATGCCTTCGACGAGTGCAGTGGAGACAAAGCTTTACGTCTACCCACTAATCGTTCAAACCAGGCCTTTGACGAATGCCCTCGACGAGTGCAGTGGAGACAAAGTTTTACGTCTACCCACTAATTGTTCCAACCGGGCCTTCGACGAATGCCTTTGACGAGTGCAGTGGAGACAAAGCTTTACGTCTACCCACTAACTGTACGGTGCCTTCGACAAATGCCTTCGACGAGTGCAGTGGAGACAAAGCTTTACGTCTACCCACTAATCGTTCAAACCAGGCCTCCGACGAATGCCCTCGACGAGTGCAGTGGAGACAAAGTTTTACGTCTACCCACTAATCGTTCAAACCAAGCCTTCGACGAATGCCTTCGACGAGTGCAGTGGAGACAAAGCTTTACGTCTACCCACTAATTGTTCCAACCAGGCATTCGACGAATGTCTTCGACGAGTGCAGTGGAGACAAAGCTTTACCTCTACCCACTAATTGTTCCAACCAGGCATTCGACGAATGTCTTCGACGAGTGCAGTGGAGACAGAGTTTTACGTCTACCCACTAATTGTTTCAACCGGCCCTTCGGATAATGCCCTTGATGAGTGCAGTGGAGACAAAGCTTAACGTCTACCCACTAATCGTTCAAACCAGGCCTTCGACGAATGCCCTCGACGAGTGCAGTGGAGAGAAAGTTTTACGTCTACCCACTAATTGTTTCAACCGGGCCTTCGGATAATGCCTTCGATGAGTGCAGTGGAGACAAAATTTTACGTCTACCCTCTAATCGTTCAAACCAGGCCTTCGACGAATGCCTTCGACGAGTGCAATGGAGACAAAGCTTTACGTGTACCCACTAATCGTTCCAACCGGACGTTCGACGAATGTCTTCGACGAGTGCAGTGGAGACAAAGTTTTACGTCTACCCACTAATCGTTCAAACAAGGCCTTTGACGAATGCCTTCTACAAGTGCAGTGGAGACAAAGTTTTACGTCTACCCATTAATTGGTCCAACCAGGCCTTCGACGAATGCCTTCGACGAGTGCAGTGGAGACAAAGCTTTACGCCTACCCACTAACTGTTCGGTGCCTTCGACGAATGCCTTCGACGAGTGCAGTAAAGACAAAGTTTTACGTCTACCCACTAATCGTTCAAACCAGGCCTTCGACGAATGCCCTCGACGAGTGCAGTGGAGACAAAGCTTTACGTCTACCCACTAATTGTTCCAACCGGGCCTTCGACGAATGCCTTTGACGAGTGCAGTGGAGACAAAGCTTTACGTCTACCCACTAACTGTTCGGTGCCTTCGACAAATGCCTTCGACGAGTGCAGTGGAGACAAAGCTTTACGTCTACCCACTAATCGTTCCAACCAGGCCTTCGACGAATGCCCTCGACGAGTGCAGTGGAGACAAAGTTTTACGTCTAGCCACTAATCGTTCAAACCAAGCCTTCGACGAATGCCTTCGACAAGTGCAGTGGAGACAAAGCTTTACGTCTACCCACTAATTGTTCCAACCAGGCATTCGACGAATGTCTTCGACGAGTGCAGTGGAGACAAAGCTTTACGTCTACCCACTAACTGTTCGGGGCCTTCGACGAATGCCTTCGACGAGTGCAGTAAAGACAAAGTTTTACGTCTACCCACTAATCGTTCCAACCGGGCGTTCGACAAATGACTTCGACGAGTGCAGTGGAGACAGTTTTACGTCTACCCACTAATCGTTCAAACAAGGCCTTTGACGAATACCTTCGACGAGTGCAGTGGAGACAAAGTTTTACGTCTACCCACTAATTGTTTCAACCGGGCCTTCGGATAATGCCTTCGATGAGTGCAGTGGAGACCAAGTTTTACGTCTACCCACTAATTGTTCCAACTGGGCTTTCGACGAATGCCTTAGACGAGTGCAGTGGAGACAAAGCTTTACGTCTACCCACTAATTGTTCCAACCAGGCATTCGACGAATGTCTTCGACGAGTGCAGTGGAGACAAAGTTTTACGTCTACCCACTAATTGTTCCAACCGGGCCTTCGGCTAATGCCTTCGATGAGTGCAGTGGAGACAAATTTTTACGTCTACCCACTAATTGTTCCAACTGGGCTTTCGACGAATGCCTTCGACGAGTGCAGTGGAGACAAAGCTTTACGTCTACCCACTAACTGTTCGGGACCTTCGACGAATGCCTTCGACGAGTGCAGTAAAGACAAAGTTTTACGTCTACCCACTAATCGTTCAAACCACGCCTTCGACGAATGCAGTGGAGACAAAGCTTTACGTCTACCCACTAATCGTTCCAACCAGGCATTCGACGAATGCCTTCGACGAGTGCAGTGGAGACAAAGCTTTACGTCTACCCACTAATTGTTCCAGCCGGGCCTTCGAGGAATGCCTTCGACGAGTGCAGTGAAGACAAAGTTTTACGTCTACCCACTAATCGTTCAAACCAGGCCTTCGAAGAATGCCTTCGACGAGTGCAGTGGAGACAAAGGTTTACGTCTACCCACTAATTGTCTCAACCGGGCCTTCGGATAATGCCTTCGATGAGTGCAGTGGAGACAAAGTTTTACGTCTACCCACTAATCGTTCAAACCAGTCCTTCGACGAATGCCTTCGACGAGTGCAGTGGAGACAAAGCTTTACGTCTACCCACTAATTGTTCCAACCGGGCCTTCGACGAATGCCTTTGACGAGTGCAGTGGAGACAAAGCTTTACGTCTACCCACTAACTGTTCGGTGCCTTCGACAAATGCCTTCGACGAGTGCAGTGGAGACAAAGCTTTACGTCTACCCACTAATCGTTCAAACCAGGCCTTCGACGAATGCCCTCGACGAGTGCAGTGGAGACAAAGTTTTACGTCTACCCACTAATCGTTCAAACGAAGCCTTCGACGAATGCCTTCGACGAGTGCAGTGGAGACAAAGCTTTACGTCTACCCACTAATTGTTCCAACCTGGCATTCGACGAATGTCTTCGACGAGTGCAGTGGAGACAAAGCTTTACGTCTACTCACTAACTGTTCGGGGCCTTCGACGAGTGCAGTAAAGACAAAGTTCTACGTCTACCCACTAATCGTTCCAACCGGGCGTTCGACGAATGTCTTCGACGAGTGCAGTGGAGACAAAGTTTTACGTCTACCCACTAATCGTTCAAACAAGGCCTTTGACGAATGCCTTCGACGAGTGCAGTGGAGACAAAGTTTTACGTCTACCCACTAATTGTTTCAACCGGGCCTTCGGATAATGCCTTCGATGAGTGCAGAGGAGACAAAGTTTTACGTCTACCCACTAATCGTTCAAACCAGGCCTTCGACGAATGCCTTCGACGAGTGCAGTGGAGACAAAGCTTTACGTCTACCCACTAATTGTTCCAACCGGGCCTTCGACAAATGCCTTTGACGAGTGCAGTGGAGACAGAGCTTTACGTCTACCCACTAACTGTTCGGTGCCTTCGACAAATGCCTTCGACGAGTGCAGTGGAGACAAAGCTTTACGTCTACTCACTAATCGTTCAAACCTGGCCTTCGACGAATGCCCTCGACGAGTGCAGTGGAGACAACGTTTTACATCTACCCACTAATCGTTCAAACCAAGCATTCGACGAATGCCTTCGACGAGTGCAGTGGAGACAAAGCTTTACGTCTACCCACTAATTGTTCCAACCAGGCATTCGACGAATGTCTTCGACGAGTGCAGTGGAGACAAAGTTTTACGTCTACCCACTAATTGTTCCAACCGGGCCTTCGGCTAATGCCTTCGATGAGTGCAGTGGAGACAAAGTTTTACGTCTACCCACTAATTCTTCCAACTGGGCTTTCGACGAATGCCTTCGACGAGTGCAGTGGAGACAAAGCTTTACGTCTACCCGCTAACTGTTCGGGGCCTTCGACGAATGCCTTCGACGAGTGCAGTAAAGAGAAAGTTTTACGTCTACCCACTAATCGTTCGAACCACGCCTTCGACGAATGCAGTGGAGACAAAGCTTTACGTCTACCCACTAATCGTTCCAACCAGGCATTCGACGAATGCCTTCGACAAGTGCAGTGGAGACAAAGCTTTGCGTCTACCCACTAATTGTTCCAGCCGGGCCTTCGACGAATGCCTTCGACGAGTGCAGTGAAGACAAAGTTTTACGTCTACTCACTAATCGTTCAAACCAGGCCTTCGAAGAATGCCTTCGACGTGTGCAGTGGAGACAAAGTTTTACGTCTACCCACTAATTGTTCCAACCGGGCCTTCGACGAATGCCTTTGACGAGTGCAGTGGAGACAAAGCTTTACGTCTACCCACTAATTGTTCCAACCGGGCCTTCGACGAATGCCTTCGACGAGTGCAGTGGAGACAAAGGTTTACGTCCACCCACTAATCGTTCAAACCAGGCCTTCGGCGAATGCCTTCGACGAGTGCAGTGGAGAAAAAGATTTGCGTCTACCCACTAATTGTTCCAACCGGGCTTTCGACGAATGCCTTCGACGAGTGCAGTGGAGACAAAGCTTTACGTCTATCCACTAGTCGTTCCAACCAGGCTCCGGGTTCTGGTGACCCCGGGCGCTATCGTTTCCGCCTTTCCCTCACTTTCTCTGCGCTTTGATGTCTTAACTTCACTTCACGTGGCCTTGGTGAGGGAGGAATGGGAGAAAAGGAAGGGGTGGGAGGGTGAGAGGGTTTGAAGGGAGGGGCATGGGCGAAGCTTTGGAGAGAATGGTCACAGTAGGAAGGTAAATAAACTAGTAAAAAAATGAAAAAGTACAAATACAACAAAAATAAACTTCAGTTTTTTTGTTTTTTTTTGTACTTCCTTGTGTATTTTTTGTGTATCTCCAATGCTCACACATTTCACACACACATTCCGAACTACCTGATTTTTGTCAGCATGATGAAGCTTCTGTATTTTTTATATATAAACTATGGATATAGAGGAGCGACACACGTTTCTTTAATTGATCAGTCACCGTAACCAAAATTGTTTTTTTCCGTAAGAAGGGCGATTGTTGCCAAACTTTTTATAATACTCTTTGTCCATTTCCAAAGACCAATCTCGAAGCTTTGTTTTCACTTCCGACGTGCAGTTCTGTCAAAAACGAAAATGCAACACCGGTTTTATAACAGTCACGACACAAATATTAACGTTCTTATACAGCTTCGTTTCGGTAATAGAGATGTTTGTAACTGCGGAGCACTTCATGTAGTATAATAAAATATGCTATAAGGGATCCACGTTCAAATTCGCGTTGAAACCTGCTTTCTACAAATGAGATTTGTAAAATGAAGCAGACGGGTTCGTCTGCTTCATTCACTGCAGTGATTTGTCGCGGGTCACCACCTGAATACTTGTCATAGCATTAACTGTGACGAGTCTTTGCTGGGTAGCATAGGCACAGTTGTTGTGTTTAAAACTATGACCTGCATTTAAATATCTTCCTTATAATTAGGATTTCGTGTTTTCGGCGTTTATTTCATGAGAAATCCGAAGTATGTTTTTCGGAGTTTACTTTTCGCCGAAAATTCGAGGTTTTGTTTTTGTTACTTGGAACGGGGAGCGTGCTGGTAAGGGTAGAATAAATAACGGGAAGAACACAAAAGACAAGAACGGACAAGACGTCTTGTCCGTCTTTGTCCTCTATGTTCTTCCCTTTATTTATTTTGTTTATGTTAGATTCCCAATTCTCTGAAATTCTGAGATTATTATACTGCCTTCCCAATGTTTAGTATTCAAAAATAAAATAAATGAAAATCGGGTGATATGACCCGTTGTCCTAAAGCAACCTTGACGAGCTGAACGGCAAACCATTTTATCAGTAGTTTGAGATCTCAAACGAAACGGAAGCGGCATTTCTTCAGGGCCACCGACCCAATGCTGTTATGTAGTTTACCTGTAAAACGGCGCCTTCTTTTTTTTTTTTTTTTTGTTACCTCGAACGTTTGATTTTTCAGAGAAATCTAAATTTCTGAAAAATTTATCTGTGAGCGTTTTTCTGATTTTTTGTTCGGATTTATCTAAAAAGTCGGAAGCTTAACCTTAAGTTATTTTCCGGATCTACGACAGCAATGCCATGCCAATTACTACGCCATCAAACTTCGCGAGATAGTTGATAAAAAGACCACGTATATTGCTGAAGTAAACTCTTTCCAGAAGCCTGCCCTCTGTTGGAAGCTTTAAAATCCCTGTACAATGGTGGAGAGAGAGGACAGCATAACCAACGCTGCGAAACGATGGATGCAAACAAGAGTTGTGCCTAAAAACTCTACTGGAGCTACAGTATTTAAAAGGCTTTTGGCAGTACTCGGTATCTGGCAAATACGTTTTGTCTAGAGTATTTGCTACATTAAGTTATATAAAATGTTCACTATTTTAGTCTCACTATATCAAATACATCTTTAAACATTGGGCAAATATTTGTCGCCGGAACAAGCTACGGGACTACGGATCCTCAGACTCTAGAGCAAAAGTGAACCGACAACAAATTCTGAGCCAAGCGACCAAATACAGAACAGAAAACAGGGCACGAGCAAAATGCAGTTAGCAAAACCCCAAAAAAGGCCAAGTAGATAGCCCCAAATAGGTCCGCCTCTACATCTCCTCTTGACTGTTTTTGTTTTTAAGTTGTATCTGAATGGCACGTCATGCTTGGAGCTAGAAAAGTGCTAGTGACGTCACCCGGATTTTACACGAAGACCCCTCGAGCGACCTTTATCTTTTGTCCGAAACTCCTTGAGCGTAGCATTGGGACGCCAACACTCGGTAGGATCGCAAAAGGGAGTTTTCGTATACCCTTTCCGCTGACCCGCAATGTTCTCCGCGACCGGGAGATCCGGGACTCTCCAGGATAAACCTCTTCCTGCTCTAAGCTTAGACTGCTGTGGAAGCTACGTCCTCGTTGGATTAGTCATAGGCCTCTCTTTCGCCACGTCATCATGCTCTAGGCCTTACACATGCGCGGAGAGGCGGGTCAGGTGATATGAGGGAGGTGGCTGATTGGTCCGGTGATAACGTTGCTCCCACTGCAGTCTCGGCTTAGGAGAGAAGGGAGTTTAGACCTTTCCAGTAGCAGTACGTCTCTAACCCCCTTCGAGACGCGCGGTGTAAATTCCCTCGATTTACAGCGCGCGTCCCTGGTCTTTTGAATGTACTGTTGCCCGACTGCGCTGGGCTGTGGATTTCCTCGACACTGTGGTATGGCATCCTGAATAGGCCCGATTCCGGAAACTAAGAACGGCTAAATTCACTCGTTCTTTATTATCATTATTATTTGTTCTGTGGCGAATTTAATTTCTCGAGGTTTTTAAGAAAGCATTGTACTATTTTTAGCAAAAGCACAAACAAATGAAAGCCATCTTTGGTGAGTTCGTACGCGACAAAACAAATTCAAATGGAAGGATTGTTTCATTTTGTGTTGATTATTTTTCGGCACTGTACGCTCATCCATAGCCTCCTTAATACTAGCAAAGCTGGGCAGATCGCCGCGAGAAGCGGCCGCCGAAATCGGAAAGGTAGAGCGGCAGACAAATGGATTAGAGGAGAGCCCTTGACGGGCGCCCCGCTGCGGCGAGACGCCGAAACTCACTTCTCCTGAGCGATGGAATGTCCGCTCGTTCTCCTCGCATTGCTCACGCTACCGCTTCTTATCTCATCAGGCTTGAATGCCATGTTTCAGGTCTTCGCCGCTGCAAAAGCTGTGCGCTGACGTCCATGTTCCCCGAGAAGTACTCTGTGCTACCAGATCCTCGCGCTCCAAATTTGCGACCGCGCACTCTACGGCCCCGTCGTCGAACTGCCAGACGTTGTGAGTATAAAGGAGGCTATGGCTCAGCCTTGTCAATCTACAAAGGTCTTTACATTAGAAAATATTGGACTTCACAGGATATCTGAACTGCGTGGGTATTCCCCGCTCATAACATAACATTCTACGATCGCATCAATCGATCAACATATTGTACGTAGTGCCCCATCGTACCGCGTTATCCGAACAGGATTTAAGAAAGATCTCAAATAACACAGGATATCCAATATACAGTGTTGACGATAGTCACTTCACGCCGATTGGGCTATTTGAAGAGAGCTGCTTTTTTTGCACAACGCCAAAGCAAATGAACGAACGTGTCTATTCCGTCCCAATACGATCATACACCGGAACGACCATATCAGCCATATTACGCGAAGACCGGGAACATAGCTTTGCGAAGCTTATCTCAACGGAAATAATTCTCCAAGAACGCCGCAGGCCGCTTGCCTTTCACTCTCTTCGTTCGTTTCCTGCATAGGCCGAGGAGGCTAAGTGCCCTGGTACTCCCTGGTAAAACAAGGGAAGATAACACAAAAAGAGCATCCTGAACAGGGAAATAAAGTAAAAACTTTGAAGAGAAGCCTGCGAACTCTGAATGTATTACAAATTACAATGCAGGTAGGGAGTCGCACTGACCGCGTTTCTACAGCTCAGGCGGGTGGCTGAAATTTCTGGCTGATAGGGGTCGCTCGAGTCGCAAACTGGGGGTAGCCTGAGAGCTCTTTTTGCGAAGGTGTATTGGTTAGCGCCGCGCATGCGCAGTAGCGGGGTCTTCGTTCCAGGGAGCGTAGCGAAGCTGAGGAAGCGGTCTAAAGAAAAACTCCCGAATGAACCATTCTCGGAAATCGCCGATTCAGGAGGTTCTAGTATAAAATTGCATGAGCACGTTTTCGAGCGAGCGCAGGCACTAGCTTGGACAAGGAAGCTAGATCTTGTTGGATTTATTGAGTTGCAGTGACCCCGATTGGGCTTCTCCAAAGCCCCCTGTGACCCTCTTGTGGTGTAACTTTCACTTTGGCTCCCAAGCTTGTTTAAAGGTGTTTCTTTTATCACACATGATTCTAAGCTTGAGACGAACGGATCAAAAGGGGAAAAACAGACATCTCCGTAGCGCTAACCATATCGCATGTTTAATAACTTTGTTCTAGATGCCCGAATTCTTTCATTCTCGGAATACTTGAACCAAATTTCTGCCAGGTGTACCAGCTATTTCTAAACTATTCGGATTGTGGAATCTTGACCTTGGTGCGTGAAGAATACTTTGAGCTGGTGCGAAAAGGGTGGGGGAGGGGGGGGGGAGGGGAGGGGAAGGGAATGGCGCATGAAAGCGGTTTTGTAGACACTCTCCGGCGCTAGCTGTGTTTCCTTCTTGACATATTCTTTAAATTTTGTTTGCCAGTTTTAAGGTACAGGTGTTCCTCCTCGCCCTTGATCGGGAGGACAAAGTACTCGCCCTTGGTTGTTGATCAGCGATCGACGCTGCTGTCCTCAGGTCGATGTTCCTCCTGAGCGTGCGCGAGTGTCGTTCACTCGCGTTCTCATCAAGTCTGGCTGCCTGAACTTCTACTTCGGTTGTCACGGGAATGCAACGCCGAACTACATGTGGTGTCTCTCGAATTGTGGCAAAGCATATAAGGAACCTATTGCTGAATGCCTCAAGAGCCGAGCCTGCCGCCAAACTAAAGAACCGCAGTGATATGTCCACAATACCTTTGTTCCTAAAACCTTTTGATGCCCATTATGTTGCAAAACCCGAATTATTTCAACGTAATCTTCGATTCCAGCAGCTAAGGCTCCTTTAGAACGGCATAAAGCTGACAGCAGATTGTGATCTTCAGCGAAGTCTTCAAGGTACAGTACCCCGGTTTTACTTTTTTATTCTGACATTACCAGCTTGCAAAGTATCTTCGAAAGTAATTCAATTACTTTTCTCAATCTATTACAGCGGAGCTGTTAGGGGCTAGTTTCCCCAGGATCGTGTCCCCCACAAAGAAATAAAGACACCGAACTCTGGACACCTACCGCCATCTATGAGCGACAGCGGCAAGTCACATATCTGGTTGCCGCCGTCGCTCATAGATGGCAGCAGCATTTCCACTCTGGCTTGCCAACTTGCGGCCGGCCTTTACTTTCCATTGTACAGCTCCGCTGGTCCTCCTTCTTCACCAGAGTGGAAAGGCTGACAGCTTTTTGTACTGTACTCAAGATGGTTCGCAGTTAACTAGAATGCTACTTTAATTACATTTTAGAACTGTGTCTAGTATTATATTGTAAATACTTTTGTGGCGTATTTGGTGCAACACTAATGCAAAGTAACAGGCTGCAGTTGAGCCCCCCGCCCCCCCCCCCCCCCCGCCTTGTCGGTGCATAATACTAAAAAGAAAAGTGCCAATGCAAATACGCGGTGCTAAGAACGTAACGTCACGGCGTTCGTTGTCTGCCAGTGCGCATGTGACAATCGGCTTAACCAATCAAGCGCAGGTATGCACCTTGACCTTGCGGTCTTAGTCTGTGCGTTTGAGCTTTTGTTTCTTCCAGTATTAGATTTGCACGTTCAGCGCTGTCGGTTGCTCCGCCATTGCTCGGTGGTCCCGACGTTCTAACAATGGGCACGTGACTTTTGGAGGGGGTCCATAACACCGCGACAAAGACACTTATTTGTCAGTGGCTTTGGACGCGAGTGTAGCTAGGGTAGAACATGGGCCACTAAGCTTGCGTATAAAGGCGGAAAGGTTCCAACATAAATACCTTTCCTTTGGATTTGAGCGCGTCCGGATAGCGTAAAAACTTCAGAAATAATTAAACATAATTAAGGAGAGAGCACACTGACAGCGAATCTTACCATAGGTGTTCTTTCCGTGTTCTCTTCTGAGATGTTACTTTATTTGTGATATTTTACAAATATCGTTGCACGAAATCTTTACATGCTACTGGAGGTAATTTAGCTATTACTGCTAATACTATTTTTTTTTAATCTCGCTCCTAATTTTGATGAGACTACAGTCACCTTTCGTACTATTATTAAAACGTAAAACCGTTTTTTTTTTAAGTCGGTAGCTCTCGAGTCTGGGCAGCGCCCTTATCAAGCACATCAGATACTTTACGGTCGCGTTTCGGTTGAGCGATAATACGCTTGCTCACGTTCCTCGTGGAGAGTAATCTGGCAAATTTACATTGGCGGATCTAAATTTGTAAGGTTCAACAAGGACACTAAGCCATACTTCGTTTCAGCTTCGGTCCGAGCGCAGCCAATGTTATGAGCCGAAGGACCAATCAAACAGCGAAACAGGCACAACGTCATGGCGTGCTCTCTGCAGTTCATAGGACCCAGCCGGTATTCGCCGCCTCTCTGTGCGCGCTCCTCCCCCGGCTGGTCCTATCAAGCGCAGAGAGCACCCCATGACGCTGCGCTTTTTCCGGTGTTTGATTGGCCCTTGGGCTCATAACATCGGCCGCGCTCGGACCGAAGCTGAAACGAAGTATAGAAGATAAGAATTCTTTTCTGGTAAAATGCGAGCGAATTGAACATGGATACTCAAAGTCGAAAGAATAAAACACGGAGAAGAACGTGAAAGTTGTCACCCACTCTTTGCCTAAATCTTTGCCTAGCAGTCCTGCCCAAAATAAACGTCGTTGCTAAATGAAGGAACGTGGTTGTCCTGTGCTTGTCCTCCGTGCTTTATTCTTTCGATTTTAAGTATAATTATTATCCTTTTGATAAAGACGAAAGCACAATCTTTTCTTTTTTACTTTTTTTTAAACGCAGTTGTACCGCGCCTATTTAGAAGTTGACTCAGGCTTATAGACAACCTTGGCTCGTGCAAGATCATATTCTGCAGTGCTACGTTATCCTTGATGGAAACATTACATTTAGAAGAATGGATAGCTGGGCGAGTTGATGAGAATTCATCGTAGGAAACTGCTCGAAAAACCGAGGACAGTGTTTTTTAGCGCTGTTGTTTCACGCTGTCGCGAAAGTTGATAGTCAGCGCTCGTAGCGTGTTTTTTTTATCCTTCGTCCTCGTCTGTTTTTCACGCTGTTTCCTACGATAAGGAATACATGGTCGAGTCGTAAGGACGGGGTCCCTCCCCCTGGCCGAGAGAAGCAGGCTGACTTTAGCAAACTACTTGGCAAGACCTGACTTGACTTTTCAGAAGAACGTGGCAATTGTAACCCACTATTTGCCTAACAGTCTGTGACAAGAGGGTCATTTGATGATTTGAAACACTAAGAGGATTAAGGAATTGTGACCGAAATATTAGGTTCGGGTTACCTTGGCGTGATTAATTTTCCTAGCTGACGAGCATTTTGTAGCCGCCGTGATCATGTAGATGTATGTGCAGTATAAGAGATGTTTTTGTTCTCGTGAAACATCTGGCATGGAGGCTTAAAACTATAGCTACACATTTAAATGGTTTTTATGCTATCTCTGCACTCGCTATTTACTGAGAGATAAGCAAATACGCGTTTATCTGCATCCACAAAAAGAAAAAAAAAGGCTAACGGAGCGTACTTTAACGAGTGAGTCCGAAAAAAATTATATATGGTCTGTCCGATATCAAAAATGTACTTCGTGTGTAAACTCTGCACAACACTAGAGAGGGCCAATAAGTTTTACCTCTGTTAGTGCCAAACACGTGACGATGGCAAAAAAATCTTGATATTGATCTGCCATGCTGCCCTTAAAAAAGTAAAACTGAATTATCAACAACTTTATTTTTATGTAATATAGCCGGGGTGTCGGTTCAAGGGTACCTGTGAGAAAAAGAAGCGCCCAAGCAGCAAAAAGCTTTTCTGGTGACTTACCACTGCACCGTTCGAGCAAACCCCTTCTGGAAACAGCCGCTGTTCTCCATTTTTGCATAACACGGCGCATGCAGTTGAATTGAAGTTTTTGTATGTCTGAAGCACATTTACACAATGTCACGAATAAAAATGTGTAGTAGAAATATGTAAGTAAAAAATATATGTTTAACATGTTCAACTTGCGACAAAAGCGAACATACGAAGTGCATTAACTGACATATCGCTTACGTCAATCTCGGTGTAATTACGGTATCTAGATCAAAGGGGAATGCTGACTGCAGCGGTTCTCTCTCTTGAACACTGGGTAGCTTTCGGTACTGTAGTTGAGGAGGCGCTGTTGATATTTGCGCGTGTCTAAGCCAGCCGGAAAGAAGCCGCAACTGGGATTTGTAGGAGAGCTGACCGGCTCCGTGGGTAGAAAATACATGGCCTTCAAGCTGATTCTGTTCATCACACGTCAACCTTGCTTGTCGCTTTATTTAACTTTTTCTTAATACAGTATTTTCCATAAGTAGACATCTACACGTTGCTGAACAATATTAACTAAACTCCTTTACTCGTTACTCACCCAAAAAGTAACTCAGAACTGTGCTAATGAAACTTATCGGGAACACAGGAACTGCGTAATATCTCATCAGAGTGCTATCCTGGCGGCAGTCGAAGAACTGCTCTATGACGTAGCGCTCAGTGAAACAATCCGGGCAGTTGCGACCGCTAGCTGAAGGTTGAAATCACGACCGAACCGCATACACCACAGAAATTTGGCCTGTGAGGAAATCCACGCCTTTTAGCCACCCCCTCACTTACGGTGTATATACTGGGTGTATCAAGGAGCGGCCAGGCTCTTTAAATCGACCGCAACGGGTGTCACAAGACTCCTGGGAGCCAACATACGATCCGATCCCAGACAAGACCTGCTGGTGTCGGGAAACCGTTACCCTCTACGCAGTGGTCTCAAACTCATTCGAGTGTGGGGGCCAGACAGCGCGCACCGGAAAGGTCGCGGGCCAACGTGGGGGAGGGGGGGGGGGGGGAGGGAAGGGGGTTAAAAGTTTTAAAGAGAAGAGACCTCGCTCTTATACTTTTTGTAAAATCACAGTTTTGCCAGTGACCTCTTCCGATTTCATTTGTTTTGTGACCACTTTGGGCCCTGACCTCATGTGATAACAAGAATTAAAATTACAGCCTCCCGCCAACGTGCTGGCATTTTTAATGGAAGAAGAGAAGTACACCGTCGTTCCTGTTGCTCAATTCGCGCAGGAATGAACCAAGCTCCACATGTCTCCAAAAAAACTGTCAGCTAATTTGAGAGTTGTTGCTTTTCCGACGATTTTTATTACAACACCGATCTCACCAGCCAGTTTGACACGCCACCGCTGCCACAATGCATCGAGGGAACTGTAGTCTTTGGGCACGTGCGGGAACCTCGCTGGAGGTCTGCGCGTGTAGAGCACGAGACGGAACAAGCCCTCTGGTTCACTGCCGTCTGCTTCCAGTGAACTAAAGTTATGGCGGCGTCACGCATGGGCCGAACGCTTAGTAAGATTGGTCTATTGGTAATTTTTTTTTTTTCAAGGCGAGAATCCTGAGCTCATAGCTCTATGTTTGGCAGTTGGTTTTGCTGATTGAGAGTTCGCACAGCAGAGATCCATCCTTCAATGAATAGCTCGCGATTGCAGCCTAGTAGCGGAATCGTTGTACATTAAAAAAAAAGGTGATAGGTAAAAAATAAAATGAAACAAAGGTCAAATGGACACAGATAAGTACAAAAATATGTGTGAATATTTTAAAAGAGCAGAGCTACTTTTCGAGTGAAAATGAATCGACGAGATGAGATCACTATGGTCAAATACGATATTTGCTATGGCGCATTTCTAGCGCTCGAGACATGGGAATCGGGACTCGTAGCCGGTTGCCTGTGGGCCGCGTCCCAGCAGGTCGCGGGCCGCGTGTTTGAAACCGCTGCGTCTACCGCATCCGGACGGGTGGGGCGATCACCCCTCGAGTGACCAACGATATATGATTCATCGCTCTCAAGAGAGAGCTTTACACCGTCCCGCTTGACCTGGACTGCCAGCGTTGTAAGGTGCCAGGAGCCATCCCCAGGTTTTCCCATGAAGATCGGGATTCGGGAGTGCGAAGCCCTAGCAGCTTTTGAGAGACCGTCATCGAGAAACTGCCAGTAACGGTCAGACCAAGGTCTATGGCGGAGCGGGCCCGCCCGACCGAGGACGGGAAAAGGAGGGCTTTGATTCTGAGAATACTCTTGAACTACGTGTCCCTGGGCAACACATCCTAGATAACAAAGCCACAGTGGTGATAGAAATGACGTCATCAGCGACGGCCAACGCTGACCACAGATTGGGCGCGAGGATTGCATCAATATTCGGCTCACACTGGACTCGAATCCAAGCGCTGACACAGCGATCGGTTCCAATCTTTGTCCAGCGTTGACCTTTGCTGGTGACGCAAGAATGTGAGCACTACGGCTTTGTCTTCTAGGCAGTGTTGACCAGGGGGAGCTCAGGATCTAGACTACCACTCCCCTCGGACACCTTGAGCCTGCCGCGCTGCATCGTTCCTTATCGGCTTCACAATTGCCATTAGAGCCATAGTTACTAGCAAGAGTCCTTTGAAGTTCGCCCAGGCTCCCAGCTATACCGGTGGCGCACGAGCAGACAACCCGAATGTTAGGATGTAAACTCGCGTAGGGCTCTCCATTTTCAATACACGTCAATTGTTTCCTTCCATTCGGTTTGGCGGAGCGACCGAAGTGCGAAGTCACGAGCCAAGTTACGAACTATGAATTGGCTTGTATAGTTCGTACCGTTCATCACGGTACAATCCTAAGGTGAAACGGAGTATAGAGTAGACCAAGCACGTGCAGGCCGGGCGAGCCGCAAAAGCAGCGGCTTCCCAGATTGAGGCGAGGCCGCATTCCTCGAAGAGGGCGGTGTCTCCCTCGCTTTTTTGGGTGAATCTGCTACTGGCACACCCGTATACGAGTGAACATTGACGCAACCCGTTTCCGGGCTTATGGCGCGTTGACAAGTGGATCCGCGAACGCGAAGCGGATCCGCGCGTTCTCAACCGCAAAGCGGCTAGGATCGAGCGGTTGGAGCGCGTTTTTGCCAACCGCTTCAGGACCGATTACTCCCAACCACTTTCACGAACCGCACAGCGGCAACCAATCACAACGTGACGCTGACGTGACGTCAGTGACTTTCGAAACAAGATTGTACCTGTCGCTGTTGAGGTGTCCAAGGCGCTGTAGTCCTAGCGTTACAGTTAACAAATCGATGGAGAAACGTAATATTCACATCCGTCAATTAAATCCTCCGCGAAAAGGATTGAGTCGTTATCTTAACGGGCTTGGCACCGGTAATCTGGTTCGGGTAAGAGTTTGTTTATTATTCCGGGTGCCACAGCCCGAAGCTCGCTGCCTTGTTAGTCTCTGCCCGTAGAACGTCGGAACCCGTTCTGATCGACCGAAATGTCAGACAAAGATAGTCGCGAGAACTATTGATAGTTTTCGAGACCGTGCATGACCACCACGAAGGCCGATAGAGACGTCGTGAGCCTGATTGCGTAGCCAACGCATTACCGCGGAGCGGGCAGGGTCGCTAGCTCGACCTGTAACATTTACTATACTAACAAAAGAAATAAAGGGAACACACTCAAGAAATAAAGTGTACATACCAAACGATGCAGAAGTAATTCATACGGCGTTTATTCGAGCTTAATGTCAAACAAACAGCAGACTCGATCGACGTGCGATTGGTGAGAGGAGAGTCCGCCACCAACGAAGCCACGACCGGCCGGCTAGCACCGAACACATTCACCCGCACCACGGTCCACCCCACCACTCAGTGTTGCCAGATGGCCCCACCAAAAAATCGCCAAACGACTGGAAGGTATAGCTCAAATATAGCCAAAACGGCAAAAACAATATAGCCCAAAATAGCCAAGACTAAAAACAACGATTGTTAAGCCTTATATTGACAATTTCTCACAATCATACAATACACGTTAGAATCTCTGTTTCAACCCTCTGATGCACCAGATTTTGTGTACATTATGTTATTTAATGAAAAACGAAAGAAAAAGAAAAGCTTCGGAAGGATGAAAATTTGTATAACACTGGGACCCTTCCATCGTAAGTTTTGAGAAGTACAAAACACACAAAGACAGCTTTATTGTGAAGCCTGGGAGGTACGATCATACAGTAAAATAACAAAAACAAAGAAGCAGAACAGTCAGAACACTGGGAGTTTCAAACCAGAACCCCAATATATCCCAGGTCCTTACCAATATCCCACCCGTTTCTTTTTCTTTGTGTCACCCACTCCGGTTCACGCTATTTCTGATTTGTTGTCCTTTCTTGGGGTGGGCAACGACTGGAAGTGTAGCTGTGAAACTACGGACTTCTCATTTTTACAAACTTGGGTGCCTCAGGATTCTCACAATGGACACCAAAGCAGCATTTGGAGAGTTCAGTGTACGTTCGGGTGGAGCCATATGCGTCCGACTTATGCTCCACTGCTTCACTGCGCATTGTGAAGACCCTGAAGTGTTTAGAAGTTTGAAGCCTTTCTCCTTCCTCTCTCTCCTCTCAAATAGCCAAAAGATAAAAAAAAAAAAATTCGAAACATTAAAAGTTTGAAAATTAACTAGCCGAAACTTAAAGTTCGGCGTCGAACCTGAGGTGCGAGAAAAGTTCGCAGAATTCTTAGAAATAGCCCAAAATAGCCATATAGCCAACCACAAAATTTTGACGCCAACTAGAAAAAAATGTAGCCCAATTTGGCTATATATAGCCCAATCTGGCAACACTGCCACCACTCTTATCTTCTAAAATGATAAGAGCGAACAAAGAGGGGAAAAACTGGCCCTCTATCCCGAAAACAAGGTCAGCCTATTCATGCGGAAAGGGTCCACTTCGAAAAAAAGGTTGGGGACATCGTTTTCTGAGTCAGCGAGGCGCGCCTAGCTGGGCTTTGCTTGTGGGTGAAGTCGAGAGAATTGCAGACAAGTTTCACGGGTTCATGTATCTTTTTTCGCTGCCTGAACTCGTGATGCGTGCGGACTTCCCCAAGAAAATTCTTCAGAGTGCCCGGAGTGCCCAAGTAGCAACATTTTGGCTTTAGATCGTGGGTTAAAGTGATTTTGGATTGTGATACAGGGTTGCCAAACGCAAGTCTCAAAAGGTCACGCGTGATCGCCGAGAAAACTCGAACCGTCTCTCGGTTGGTCTAAACGGGGTCGCACGCGAACCGCATCCGCAACCGCTACGCGAACGCGGATCCGCTTCCAGTGTGAAGAAAAATGATGACTGGTGATGCGCCATTAGCCAGACCGCCTACTCCGGGTGCGTTCATTCTCCCAAACACACCCGAGACGCGGGGGGAGGCTTTGGTTTTCTTTCTTTTTGCAGCAATTCCCCCTTCCAAGGAATCTACCTAGTACGGTAGCGTGGGCCACTCCAGGTGAATCTGTCTGATATGACAGCGCCGACCTTTTAGTGTTTCTTTTTTTTTGGCCGACGGGCAAAACGTGTTGGCGTATTCGTCAATAAACACCTAGTTCTACGGTCCAACAGACATCATGTGTTTCTACGTGGTACCCCCCCCCCCCCCCCCCCCCAAAAAAAAAAGGGGAAACCCACACTATTTTTTTATAAAAGTAAGTATATAATTTTGGATTATCTCAAAAAAATTCTACTTTGTATTTGATTGTTTTTTTATGCCGTCAAAGACTCACAGATCTTAGCAATGTGCATTCACGGGATCCGCCTTCTTCAATATACAGCCCGCATTCGTCGGACACTTCGGTGGTATGAGAGAAGGTTTCCCCTGAAATAAAAGATTTTGAATGAAGGTACTAGATCGCAGGATCATGTCTCTTTTAAGCTAAAAACGCGAACGGTCTAGTTGAACTTTCTTTTCTTTTTTATTTTAATGTTCCTTCCCTACTGAAGAAAATTATATAAATCTATATAAGAACTGATATGAAATATCCAAAAACTGATATGTGACATATGAAACTGATATGAAATATCCAAAACCTGATATGCGATATAAGAACTGATATGAAATACCCAAAACCTGGTATGCGACATATAAGAACTGATAGGAAACATAGTCCAACTGATATGAATGTGTCGAATAAACATATCAGAAATAAATTCATATAATTTTTTTCAGTATACGACGTGCCGCGCGGAAAAGCAAGCGCGTGGCTTGGAACCGCAGTGAAGCGACTTGATTTACTGGCTTTCAAATAATTACGGCATGAGCGCTTATTTTTTCTTAAAAGATGCGTCCCCTGAGCCGTTCAAAATACTGTCAGAGGTATGACATTACTGAAAAAAATCCAAAGCGCTCAAAATATTATTTATTGCTTAGGTGGTCACCGGAAAACTCCTTACTTACAAAACGACCTGTATAAAAGGCGGAAACGCAGAGCTCCGAAGAGTTATTGGGTGTGCTGTTGTATTCATGTTTGTTGTGCCGTGTGTCTGTATATGCACTCAATGTATATGCTCATCTGATGCTAGGTGTATGCGGAATGTATCTACATGGTGGCGTGAGTAAATAAAAATATTTTTGTAGCACATGAATTGGGCGGTACCTAGCGCCACCTAGCCTAGTGTAACTAATATGCGGCATATGAAACTGATATGAAATAATAAGTTCTGATATGAAAAAGGTGTCCAATAAACATATCAGATAAAAATTCAGATATTTTTTTTTTCAGTAGGGTTTCAGCTTCCCAGTATACATACCAGGTACAAGAGGCTCACCGTATTATCGTGTGTATTTTTGTTAAATACATCAAGAAAACCATTGCCCTATTATTTTTATTAGAAGTGTATAAACGTTGATTAGTTACAACCATTTTCCTGCTTCGATCACCAATATTACTGATACTATTTTTTTTTATTAAGGATGCCCTCGCTAATGTGTGTACTTCGTAGTTGTTTCCAAAAGCGAATACTCGTTGTTGATGGCTGACTCCGGTACATTTTGTGGAGTTTAGGGTAACGACGGTTTTAGGGGCGAAGCTCCTTAGGGGCTAGCCATGTCCGTATGTCCGTCCGACGTCCGGCGTCGGATGCTCGTCCTCACGAGCACGTGAGCACGTGCTCCCGTCCTCGTGTAAGGCAAAAAAAACAACAAAAAAAACAAAAAAAAACGCATTTTTACGTGGTGAATGATGTTGATTGGGGCGAAGCTCTGGTGGTTCTTGTCTGCGTAGACGCTGAGCCGCAGCATGCCGAGCCTTTCGTTCGTTCTCATCCATGTCAGAAAGAGAATGCGTGGTATGGAACGTGGTTATATACGAATTTGAGCATTTGACCGCAGCGTGACTTGGATGAGAACGAACGAAAGGCTCGGCATGCTGCAGCTCAGCGTCTACGCAGACAAGTACCACCAGAGCTTCGCCCCAACCAACATCATTCACCACGTGGAGATGCGGTTGTTTTTTTTAGTGAAGAGCGTACCTATACTTCAAAGTGTCCGTTTTTTATGCCTTGTGTAGGTGCAATCTTCTAGATATTCTATCTAAAACTTTTGTTTTGGAAGTTTACGGCGACACCAGGGCCCGTTTGCTCGAAGCGCTAACCGCGGCTAAAGTTAACCGCAGTACCTAGGAGAGGGACTTTGAAATCACGTGACTGGCTTGGTCGGGATGGGGGAAACATGCATGGCGGTGCCCCGGTGAGTGAGCGCCGCTCGCTTTGGAACTAATACGTCGTTGTAGCTGCGATACTGAGCGCGTTCGTCAGCAACGAATGGTGCAGGAGGCTTTCGCTTTGCCTTACCTCACTTAAATCGCAAAGCAGGCGCAATGACCTCGCCGCATTTTTTTAGATAGTCTTCTATTCTGGCCATACCTAAGCCTAAATGAACGCGATAATTGTTGGCATTGCAACGTCTTTGGAAAGTGGATTGTCTTGACTCAGTCGGCCGGGTATTCATAGCACATAAAAGCAGACAGCGTCCCAAGAGACCTTTTTCTAAATTTCCCTAGCACCGAGGTGCATGCTACGAGTGTAGTTACACGCGTTGCACGTGCTGGCGTCTGCAGTAGTGATTGTTCTGAAGCAAAAATTATGAAACAAATTTTGCCTTCCACGCACGTTCGTCAAAGCCTTATTATGATTATCTACTTCGAATCTTTTATAAGAGGAAGGCCAGCGCGCGCGGACCGTAGGATTACACTTCCAGCGTTCTCCTCGATGCTTGGGTAAATTAGAAAAAGGCCTACTGACAACCTTACATACTTGCTTTCCTTAAGTTCCAAGCCAATCTGGACATTTCGGTCGAGCTTGGCTTTATCGGAGGTTGTTTGTTTTAGCTGTTTCTAAAATAAATATTCAGTTGAGATTCAAGGCTCGTCCTGTTTGCCTTCCTTTTGTGTCCTTACTTATTGTTAGCCTTTTTAATTTTATAGGCACAAGAAACCTAAAAAACGAAGGCAACGATACTAAAACACTCAGTTGGGAAACTCGCCGTCAAAACCTGGGCCGCTGGCGTCCACCGAGGACGAGCTAAATACGACAACAGCGCCACTCTTTATCGTCTGTCTGTACTGTGCTCACCTTGAGCTTTTACAAAGCATGTTTTTGCGTAAAAGCAAACCGAAAAGACTCTTTTTGTATGAAATTCGTTAGAGTTTAGTACAAAATGGAGGGCGCGTGATGTTTTTATAATCTTTAGTTTGCAAGGTTTAGCGGCACAATTAATATTGTTTTTATGCAACCATGCCTCAGCGGTGCTTTCAGGTAGCGCGTCCCAACCTAGGTGCATTTTAACTTCGGTAGTAAGACGCGGCGCGTCCGCTGGGGAGACCGGATGGCACCCCTGTAACCCCTTCCGCTGTATTTTTTTCGGCGCCAAAATGGCCGATTAAAGCCAAAGAAACGTCACCTGCAGTTCCTCGAGTATCCACCTGCGGGAGAAATGGCGGCGTTGTGTTCGCCGTTAGCTCGGTGCTCGAGGACAGATCGGGACACTTTTTCAGAGCAGTCTCTGTGGCAGTTTCCCAACTGAGTGGTTCTACTAACGTTGACGAAGGTGACATCAGGGCACAAGGTTGCTCGATAAGCAGCCGAACCGCTGAATGCTTTCTGAGAAGCTTGTGGTAGCATTTTTAATATCGGTTTTAGAGTAGATCGCGGTTTTCCATTAGTGTAATATTTTGGCAGTGCTCATATTTTGTCTCCGTAAATCGATACCAGTAATCTAATTTGGTTCGACGGTTGACCAGAGTTACGCCCTTTAATTTAAGAGGGGTGTTTCATAAATGTTTCTTCCTGGGCTGTCCTTTTTCAATCGGTGATGGAATTGAGTGATGTTACACTCAAATGCTAGTTTGGAATCTCCTCTTTTCCAGGAGTGCACAACTGTTCGATCAACCCTCAACCAGCGGCGATTCAGTTCCGTTGCCGGTGCACTAGTCTGTGTATGCCGTTCTAGAAGAATGAGGTCGGCTGTGGACGAGACCAACGCCGCGCTGAAAGAGCTGCAGTTCCTAGGCGTTTTGCGTCACCAACTTTACGGCCAGGACTTCGCGCCATCAGACTTATTCTTCAAGATGAGAGAACATTTGAAGGGAACACGGTTTTCGTCTGACGACGAGGTTATGATGTAGTGCGCCATTGATGTCAAGAGCCGCTCCAGCTCCGAAGTTCTCTTTTACATGATCTTGCTTGTTGGCTTACCACGGTATAGCCTTCTTATTCTACATAAAACATGCCCCGCCCCCCCCCCCCCCCCCCCCGTCAAAAAATAAAATAATGACACGAATACACCTAAGACTGCTTATGTGTAGGAAGGCGAAAGCAATCATAGTTTCGCGGCGGAAATGTTTTCGAGTAATGCTTCTGCATGGTATTAAAGTTTAGGACGACCTGTAGGACGACGTCGAGGACGAACTCAAGGATGGCGCCTAGGACGACGTCTCGAACAACCTCAAAGGCGACGTCTAGGACGACCTTAAGCAACGTCGAGGAAGACATCGAGGACGACGCCTAGAGAATGACGTCTAGGACGATGTAGAGAACGACGCCTAGAAGGCGACGTCTAAAACGACCTCTCGGATGACGTCAAGAACGACGTCTAAGACGACTTCTAGGACGACCTCAAGGACGGTTTTAAGGACGACGTCGAGAGCGATGCCTAGAGGACAACGTCTAGGACGGCGTCGAGAACGACGCCTAGAGGAGGATACTTAAGGAGGCCGCGGCGTATTTCCGTGACCGGCTACGTTTGCCTGCGGAAGCCGCCGTAGATGTAGACGCTGCTGCCGATGTTGAGGCCGTTGGTGCAGACGTGGTCGCCTTACAGTCCATCGCACGAAGCACACAACGAGCACAGATGAAGTCCGAAGCGCACATTTTGCACGCGGTGCTCTGGCGGTGACATCACGCTCCCGCACTTGAGCGTGAGCGTGAGCGGCGTGTGCTTGATGACGTCGTTTTTATCTTTCGCGCACAACGGCGCAGCTTTATCGCGTAATGGGTTGGGGGGATCGGTGGCCGAGTGGTCTAGCGCACACCAGCTCGGAGCACGTGGAGCGAAAGCTCGCGCTGCAGAACCCAGGGATCCTGGGTTCGAGCCCCACCCCTGCCCGTTTCGATCTGGATGAGCATCGTACCGGCGTGCGGTCGTGTATCACTACTGCGTGATGCACGTTAAAGACCCCAGGCTAGCGGCTGTACCGCACTGGCTAAATTTCTCATCTACAGCTGGGAGACTCGTCGCCCCTGTGAGGCAGACCAAGTTCTAGGCTGTATAAACACACACACAACCCAATTTTTTTTATCGCGTAATGGGACAAGTAGTGTCGTCCTAGAGGTCTAGGACGAGTGGAGGACCTCAAGGACGACGCCAGGAACAGCATTGTCCTAAGCATACGATTGAGCGGCGCGTAACGCTTAATCGTATGTTTATGGCTATTTGCGTCGCTTTTCCACTCACTGGGGCAAGTAAGGCTTTGGCCTTAATATAGCCTCTGAACTCAACAGCTTTTTCGCAAATTGTTAAGGTCACTTAATATTGAGTTGTATCACCGATGTATGCATATTTTGCAGAGAGTATTGTGTATGCGTCTACTTAATCTGACAAAAATGATCACATCTTAAGAACGCGCAATAGCATTGGTAATACATTAAAATATGTACCGCTGCAAAATGGATGAAAGTAATCACGGCGCCGCGGCGTGCCGTGACAAAGCGGTTAGACACCGGGCGACGGTCAAGGCGTATCATAGTTAGACTCGGACACTCGTATCTCTGGCCTTACTGCGTATGCGCAGTTGCCCTAGTCTGTGGCCAGGCTGAGAAGCATGTACAGAAAGCCGTGCGCTCCGTTGTTCGTATTTCAATGTATCGCGATTGTACTCTTTCCTACACAGAAAAGGAAATTCTAAAGACTGTCATGTCTAGACGACCGACCATTTACGACGTCCAAAATATTAGCGGTCTGGGACCCTCCACTTAAAGAGGATAAGGCCGCAAACGTTCTCCTATGTTTTTATTTGCAGCTCGCCTTAAGTTCTGTTTAAAAAAAAGTGTTATATTAGCCATTATTCGTGCTCGCGTAGAAGACTGCCAGTTATATCATTCGGGGGGGGGGGGGGGGGGGGGGGGAAGGGCGCCACGAGAGCGTACGACACGAGAACGCACGACAGCAGAGCTTCGCGATACGAGATAGCGTGTCATTAAAGCGTGCGCCACGAGACCGCTGAAAAACAGCTGCGCTCCCTAAACTGCCCTTTCCCTTAGCTGTCAAGTATTAAATCCCCTTCTGTCGTTACTGGGCTGTCATAGATTGAATTAACTGACACGCGACAGCCAGCACTGCACGATTTGTGACTGCAATTATATCTTATGCAATCTTTTGCGGAGCAAGGACGAGGACAAAAGAAGAGAACAGGACACAACAAGGCGCCTTGTTGTGCCCTGTTTTCTTCTTTTGTCCTCGTCCTTGCTGCGCACAAGATTGTATAAGGTGTCAAACCAACTCGCCCAAACAACCACTCTTCTTGCAATTTTATATTTCTTCATTAATAGTGTAAACGTACGGATCGGTTTTTAGCGTGCTCCAAATTCGACGTTTTCTCGACGTATGCCAGCATTAAACATGATAATGATGTGACATCTGAGCGCACAGTAGGCTTCTGCACCCTACCGTGCGCTCCTATGCATACCAATATCTGGCGGATGTACTCCGTAGAGAGCCTCAAAGGAGCAGCAAGGCCACCTACGTTTGCGTAGCGAAGAATCTGAGCAATATAGTCGAAGGGTACGACGAAAGGTGCATGCTAGACATCCTCCACGGCGTTTCAGTCATTCAATGTTTTTTTTCTTTATATATAATGAAAATAATAAGAAAACACTATATTTCGGAACCTCTGCTCGTAATTCTCCATTTCAAGTTTGCGACAATTCTATTTTTTAGGCTCCTCACAGGTCTGGGCCCTCATCCAATTAAATTAAATCAAGCGTTTGTTGTCAAAAATTCAGATCCACGATAAAATGTATTTTAAGACCCAAATATCGATCATTCCCAAGGCGTGCAGACGCGCTCTCGTGACGCACGCTCTAATGACACGCGCTTTCAAGTCGCGGCGCTCACCTGTCGCGCTCTCTCCCGTGGGAGCTCTAGTGTCGTGCGCTCTCGTGTTATAGACGCTTTGCAGCAGCTGTGCATGGGCACCGCCATAACTGACCTTCATTTTTTGTTTCCCCTTATTACGTTTACTTCACATCATTATTACCATAGCAGGCTAGGTTATTGCCATCTTAGATGTTATTCTGTCTTTCTCCCCAGCATTGGCTTTTGTGGAGACTCGTCCACACCAATTTCAGTGCCTCGGTATCTCGGTAAAACAAGAGGTCAGCAATGGCGGCTGTATTCTGGCGCGTGTGTAAAGCGTCTATACCCGTGTCCCACTAGGGCGACATACAGAAACAGGACAACAACAAGCCTCAAACCAGGGTATTTCGCCATTTGAGACGCTTTGTAGAGTAAAGGAGGCTATGCTCAAACACGAGCATCATGCACGCGAAGGTATCTTTGGCAGGCTTGGAATCGCTCGTGCTCACTTCGCGAGCACCGAACGACTGAACGCCTGCCAAAGGTGCCACCGCGAGCATGCTGCATGGTTTTGAGGCTTGTCGCTGTCTTTTGTCTCTTTCTGTCGCTCTAGTGGGACACGGGCATTACACAGCCAAATAATTCTTCTAAGCACGTTAACTGAACTTCACGCTGGTGCATATAGCTCTCGTACTTTAGACGAACATTTGTACCATGAAAACAACGTACTTTCAGTGCTTTGAGTTTTTGTGCCATTTCGATAGTACGACTGTCATGATTCTTTGCCCGCACGATACTGCGCTTATTGTTAACGCGTGTATTGGCTAGACCGAGTCATGTCTCCTCCCCTCTCTTCCTTTCCTCCTAGTTTCATTTCTCCAAACCCTTCCCCACCTCAGAATAGCCAACCGAGGCAGACCTCGTAGCTTACTGTCTGTTTTCTCCTCCTGCTTTCATCTTCTTCTTCATTTTATCTAGGACGGCATTCGGAGACTAGTGCACCGGTAGTGGAAGTGCATCGCCGCAGGTGCCGAACTTTACTGAAAAGTTATGTGTTTCTGGAAAAAGGATTTTCCAATGTTTGGTTTAAATGTTATATATCAGATTCATCACTGAATAAAAAATTGTACAGCCTAGGAGGCAAAACTTGTGATCACTCTTAGTATATCTTTCGGACTATTTTAAGTAAAATAGCAATTATCACCAGAGTGCCTCGACTGACCCCAATGCGCGTTCAAAAAAAAGGGTTAATCTATTTTATTATTATTTGCCTCCACGTTAACTATGATATGTAAAACGACATTTTGATGGGAATATAAACGTTCTTGTCAAGAATTCTGATTAACATGAGATAACATTGACTTAAGGTGATCAAAACAAATATTTTAAACAGAATATTTTCAAACTGGTACATCTGTATAAACTATCTGATGATGTCGATAAGTGTCATCGCTTCTTTCTGAAGTATCTTGGAAGTACCTGAAGTATCTTGAACCAGCAAGGACACACTAAAATGGGATTATTAGAGTTTTGCCTACCCCCTGATTACCCCCTAATCGTCCGTAGAAATCTGCAGTCAACTGGTGGATGCGGATAAAATTGAATCAGATTGGTCGGATTACGGATCGGATACGGGACCAAAGGCTGCGGATGCTGATCGGATGTGGATATCCGCTAATCCGTATCAACATTTTTGCCAAGGCAGCCCATAATTGCTGTACAATCACAAAGTGTAGAGTGAATGAGTGAGTGATAGTAGGATGGGCATTCTCTAGTGTTGTGCAGGAGCAAGTTGATGTATTAGAAAAAAAGGTACTAATCGTAGGGAAATTCTGTTTTACGCCAAGACCTGGTCTCACCTAATTTGGCTTTAGAGCGTTCCATCTCGACAAAAGGGGTTTCCTTAAAAAAAAACTACGAATGCAGGGACATCAATCGTCCTGGCAAAGCATGTTCTTGTTTTGACAGGGAATGAGGGAAAAATGTTTTGGAGGCAAAGAGAACCGCAAACGTACAAGCCACAAGGAAGTAGAAGCAGCAACTTTCCGCTTGGATTTCTTGATCTCATGATGTAAACCGAATGTGCAAATTAAGGGTCAGATGTGGTTTCGAATTTTGAGGATGCGGTTCTGAAGCGGCTACAAAGACTGAGGATGCAGATTGGATCCGGATGATCAAACTGTTATGCGTGCGGCGATCTATAGAATTTCAAATACCCAAGCTTCTAAAAAACCAAGCTCATATTATTGCCATTATAGGGGTAAGTATGTTTGTACAAGTAGTAAAAAGACATAATTTGATCATGTTCGGGCGTTTTAAAAGTGGCTGGTTAATTTCTTTCATTCTTTTTTTTTTTCTGTGGTTCACTTCTATTAACTTTTTTTGCGAGCTTAGAAAGAAGTAATTGTTTCTCTTTGTTTCATGGGCGAATGGCTGACTTTGAGTGTTATTCTATCGTGGTCATTGTCCCGCGATTTCACTTTCTCTGCCGTGTTTTACCGGTTGAAAGGAAGGAATGTGTGTTGTTTTGTCGCTTCGGGTGACTCTGGTTTTCATTTCCTTGATTTTGTCCGTTTATTATTAGTTCTTTAATTGTGGATCTGCATTTATGATGTTTTGTTTGTCCGAGTCATCTGAGTTTCCTCTCTCTGTTGAACGCTCCTTTTGTCTAAGCTTGTTAGTTTTTGCCTGATAGTTTTTCCTTGGTGTCTCTAGGTTAGGTTATGGCGTTTGTTAAACAACTAGCTTGCATAATTCGACGTGAGCGCGTCGGTGAAGTTAAATAAAAACAGAAAGAATAAACATAGGTGTTGTTCCGTTCGTCCCTGTTTATTATTTCTTTTTTTATTTAGCCTGCATACTTTTGTCTTTTGTATTTGTTCGATTTATATCTATATATATATATATATATATATATATTTAAAATGAAGCTTACCGCTTAGAAAAGACGGTAGAATAAGCACAACGGAGAGAACTACGAGCTGCATTTTGCTCAATGGCAACGTCCCACTGAAAGAGTAAAGATAATATATATATAGCCTCTAAATTCAACTCTTTTTTGCAAAGCGCTTAAGGTTGCTAAAGTAGTGCGTCGTATTACAAACGTATGCATAATTTGCGGAAAGCACGTGCATGCGTATACTTAATCTGACAAAAATGCCCATGTCATAAGCACTCGCAAAAACATTGCTAATAGATAACATTAAGTACCATTGCAAAACGAATAAAACTTATTTGGGCAATTAAAACACTTGTAGAGTGCAGGGTGCAGCGAAAGTCAGGCGATACAAGATTTCTATTGTGACACGGTATTCCCGGGTGAAAAAACACTTGTAGAGCTCAGGGTAGAGCGAAAGTCACGTGATACAAGATTTCTATTGTGACACGCTATTCTCGGGTGAAAAAACAGTTGTCGAGTTCAGGGCAGAGCGAAAGTCACGTGATACAAGATTTCTATTGTGACACGGTATTCCCGGTTGAAAAAAACAGTTGTAGAGTTCAGGGTAGAGCGAAAATCACTTGATACAAGATTTCTATTGTGACACGGTATTCCCGGGTGAAAAAATACTTGTGGAGTTCAGGGTAGAGCGAAAGTCACGTGATACAAGATTCCTATTGTGACACGGTATTCCCGGGTGAAAAAACACTTGTGGAGTTCAGGGTAGAGCGAAAGTCACGTGATACAAGATTTCTATTGTGACACGGTATTTCCGGGTGAACAAACACTTGTAGAGTTCAGGGTACAGCGAAGGTCACGTTATACAAAATTTCTATTGTGACACGCTATTCCCGGGTGAAAAAACAGTTGTCGAGTTCAGGGCAGAGCGAAAGTCACGTGATACAAGATTTCTATTGTGACACGGTATTCCCGGGTGAACACACACGTGTAGAGTGCAGGGTAGAGCAAAAGTCGCGTGACACAAGATTTCTATTATGACACGGTATTCCCGGATGAACAAACACTTGTAGAGTTCAGGGTAGAGAGAAAGTCACTTGATACAAGATTTCTATTGTGACACGGTATTCCCGGGTGAACAAACACTTGTAGAGTGCAGGGTAGAGCGAAAGTCACGTGATACAAGATTTCTATTGTGACACGGTATTCCCGGGGAACAAACATGTGTAGAGTTCAGGGTAGAACAAAAGTCACGTGATACACGATTTCTATTGTGACACGGTATTCCCGGGTGTACAAACACGTGCAGAGTGCAGGGTAGAGCGAAAGTCACGTGACACAAGATTTCTATTGTGACGTGGTATTCCCGGGTGAACAAACACTTGTAGAGTTCAGGGTAGAGCGAAAGTCACTTGATACAAGATTCCCTATTGTGACACGGTATTCCCGGGTGGAGAAACACTTGTGGAGCGCAGGATAGAGCGAAAGTCGCGTGATACAAGATTTCTATTGTGACACGGTATTCCCGGGTAAGCAAACACTTGTAGAGTTCGGGGTAGAGCGAAAGTCACTTTACACAAGATTTCTATTGTGACACGGTATTCCCGGGTGAACAAACACTTGTAGAGTTCAGGGTACAGCGAAGGTCACGTTATACAAAATTTCTATTGTGACACGGTATTCCTGGCTGAAAGAACAGTTGTCGAGTTCAGGGTAGAGCGAAAGTCACGTGATACAAGATTTCTATTGTGACACGGTACGCCCGGGTGAACAAACACTTGTAGAGTGCAGGGTGGAGCGAAAGTCGCGTGATACAAGATTTCTATTGTGACACGATATTCCCGGGTGAACAAACACTTGTAGAGTTCAGGGTAGAGAGAAAGTCACTTGATACAAGATTTCTATTGTTACACGGTATTCCCGGGTGAACAAACACTTGTAGAGTGCAGGGTAGAGCGAAAGTCGCGTGATACAAGATTCCTATTGTGACACGGTATTCCCGGGTGAACAAACACTTGTAGAGTGCAGGGTAGAGCGAAAGTCGCGTGATACACGATTTCTATTGTGACACGGTGTTCCCGGGTGAACAAACACTTGTAGAGTTCAGGGTAGAGCGAAAGTCACGTGATACAAGATTTCTATTGTGACACAGTATTTCCGGGTGAACAAGCACTTGTAGAGTGCAGGGTAGAGCGAAAGTCGTGTGATACAAGATTTCTATTGTGAGACGGTATTCCCGGGTGAACAAACACTTGTAGAATGCAGGGTAGAGCGAAAGTCACTTGATACAAGATTTCTATTGTGACACCGTATTCCCAAGTGAAAAAACGCTTGTAGAGTGCAGGGTACAGCGAAAGTCAGGTGATACAAGATTTCTATTGTGGCACGGTATTCCCGGATGAACAAACACTTGTAGGGTTCAAGGTAGAGCGAAAGTCACTTGATACAAGATTTCTATTGTGACACGGTATTCCCGGGTGAAAAAAAAACACTTGTAGAGTTGAGGGTAGAGCGAAAGTCACGTGATACAAGATTTCTATTGTGACACGGTATTCCAGGGTGAACAAACACTTGTAGAGTGCAGGGTAGAGCGAAAGTCAGGTGATACAAGATTTCTATTGTGACACGGTATTCCCGGGTGAACAAACACTTGTAGAGTGCAGAGTATAGTGAGAGTCAGGTGATACAAGATTTCTATTGTGACACGGTATTCCCGGATGGACAAACACTTGTAGAGTTCTGGGTAGAGCGAAAGTCACGTGATACAAGAAGTCTATTGTGACACGGCATTCCGGGGTGAAAAAACACTTGTAGAGTTCAGGGTAGAGCGAAAGTCACGTGATTTAAGATTTCTATTGCGACACGGTATTCCCGGGTGAACACAGTTGCAAAATGCAGGGTAGAGCGAAAGTCACGTGATACTAGATTCCTATTGTGACACGGTAGTCCCGGGTGGAGAAACACATGTAGAGTTCAGGGTAGAGCGAAAATCACGTGATACAAGATTTCTATGGTGACACGGTAATCCCGGGTGAACAAACACTTGCAGAGTGCAGGGTAGAGCGAAAGTCGCGTGATACAAGATTTCTATTGTGACACGGTATTCCCGGGTGAACAAACACGTGTAGAGTGCAGGGTAGAGCGAAAGTCGCGTGATACTAGATTTCTATTGTGACGTGGTATTCCCCGGTTGAACAAACACTTGTAGAGTTCAGGGTAGAGCGAAAGTCACTTGATACAAGATTTCTATTGTGACACGGTATTCCCGGATGAACAAACACTTGTAGAGTTCAAGGTAGAGCGAAAGTCACTTGATACAAGATTTCTATTGTGACACGGTATTCCCGGGTGAAAAAAACACTTGTAGAGTTGAGGGTAGAGCGAAAGTCACGTGATACAAGATTTCTATTGTGACACGGTATTCCAGGGTGAACAAACACTTGTAGAGTGCAGGGTAGAGCGAAAGTCACGTGATACAAGATTTCTATTGTGACACGGTATTCCCTGGTGAACAAACACTTGTAGAGTGCAGAGTACAGTGAAAGTCAGGTGATACAAGATTTCTATTGTGACACGGTATTCCCGGGTGGACAAACACTTGTAGAGTTCAGGGTAGAGCGAAAGTCACGTGATACAAGAGGTCTATTGTGACACGGAATTCCGGGGTGAAAAGACACTTGTAGAGTTCAGGGTAGAGCGAAAGTCACGAGATATAAGATTTCTCTTGTGACACGGTATTCCCGGGTGAACACAGTTGCAAAATGCAGGGTAGAGCGAAAGTCACGTGATACTAGATTCCTATTGTGACACGGTAGTCCCGGGTGGAGAAACACTTGTAGAGTTCAGGGTAGAGCGAAAATCACGTGATACAAGATTTCTATGGTGACACGGTAATCCCGGGTGAACAAACACTTGTAGAGTGCAGGGTAAAGCGAAAGTCGCGTGATACAAGATTTCTATTGTGACACGGTATTCCCGGGTGAACAAACACGTGTAGAGTGCAGGGTAGAGCGAAAGTCGCGTGATACTAGATTTCTATTGTGACGTGGTATTCCCGGGTGAACAAACACTTGTAGAGTTCAGGGTAGAGCGAAAGTCACTTGATACAAGATTCCCTATTGTGACACGGTATTCCCGGGTGGACAAACACTTGTGGAGCGCAGGATAGAGCGAAAGTCGCGTGATACAAGATTTCTATTGTGACACGGTATTCCCGGGTAAGCAAACACTTGTAGAGTTCAGGGTAGAGCGAAAGTCACTTGACACAAGATTTCTATTGTGACACGGTATTCCCGGGTGAACAAACACTTGTAGAGTTCAGGGTACAGCGAAGGTCACGTTATACAAAATTTTTAGTGTGACACGGTATTCCCGGGTGAAAGAACAGTTGTCGAGTTCAGGGTAGAGCGAAAGTCACGTGATACAAGATTTCTATTGTGACACGGTACTCCCGGGTGAACAAACACTTGTAGAGTGCAGGGTAGAGCGAAAGTCGCGTGATACAAGATTTCTATTGTGACACGATATTCCCGGGTGAACAAACACTTGTAGAGTTCAGGGTAGAGCGAAAGTCACTTGATACAAGATTTCTATTGTTACACGGTATTCCCGGGTGAACAAACACTTGTATAGTGCAGGGTAGAGCGAAAGTCGCGTGATACAAGATTTCTTTTGTGACACGGTATTCCCGGGTGAACAAACACTTGTAGAGTGCAGGGTAGAGCGAAAGTCGCGTGATACACGATTTCTATCGTGACACTGTGTTCCCGGGTGAACAGACACTTGTAGAGTTCAGGGTAGAGCGAAAGTCACGTGATACAAGATTTCTATTGTGACACGGTATTTCCGGGTGAACAAACACTTGTAGAGTGCAGGGTAGAGCGAAAGTCGTGTGATACAAGATTTCTATTGTGAGACGGTATTCCCGGGTGAACAAACACTTGTAGAGTGCAGGGTAGAGCGAAAGTCACGTGATACAAGATTTCTATCGTGACACGGTATTCCAGGGTGAACAAACACTTGTAGAGTGCAGGGTAGAGCGAAAGTCACGTGATACAAGATTTCTATTGTGACACGGTATTCCCGGGTGAA